TCTCTCTCTCTCGCGCTCAACTCGCAGCTATCCTTCAGCCCACCAACTCGCTCCATCATCCTCCACCACACCCCAGCTGCATCGGCCATGGAACGACATGATGCGCCTCTTGTTGCCATCCACCACACCCTGAGCCGAGCTCGTCTTCACCATTCGGCAAACACTGCTACACTCGCGTAGCTGGCGGCATGCTCGGTCTAGCCTCCCTCTCCGACAGCCATGTAGTTCAGCTGTACGAGTGGGCCGAAAGCAGCCCTGCGGCAGTGCTCACTTGCACCTGTCGACAGGTCATACGCTTGCCCACCATCCCGCGCTTCTCACACGCGCTTGGAGGTACGTCCTCATCATGAGCCCCGACGAGCACTGTCACGAGGAGCACTCACCTTCCATCCTCACATTCTCTCTGTGAGCAGGTCAGAACCTCTTCCTCCATCATCAGACACCATGCTTGTTCGTCCATGTCTGCGGTATGATCGTCGGCGTGCAGCCCAAAGACGACCACATCGCTTACGAGAGTAAGTCCTCACACCTCTCGGCACATTTGCGTTTGTCCTCCTCGCTTAGTTCGTACTCGTTTCCACCTGCTGCAGTCGACGACGGCACCGCGGTTCTGCGCATCTTGGTGAATCGCAAATCAATCCAGATCGACAAGACGTTGCACTTTCTCACAGCTCCTGAACCTCCATCTGGCATTCCTGAGTGTTACCGCATGCCACCGCAACCAAAAACAAGTCGCCCCGGCTATGGTGATGCCTCCAGCTCCACATCCACGCTTTCGCCGCCACAGCCTCGATTCAACGTGGCAGACGTGGTCATGTGCGTGGGCAAGGTACAGATCGCCCGCGATGGCGGTCGCTTCATCGTCGCAAAATCACTCGCTTCCTCCCGGGACCTCAACGACGAGAGCCGACACCAAATCAAAGCGGTCGAGCTCGATAACAACCTCTACCGCCAACCTTTCGACTGGAACAGAATCCAAGCTGATGTCAAAGCTTCCCTCGCTACCCAGCCGACAACAACCAGCCTATCGAGACCGTCTGCTAGGTCGCTCCTCACCGACGCCTCTTTGGAACATGGCGTGGACGTGCTGCCCTCGCTCGCACCACATCGCGACAAACACGAAAGCATCCCAGACACTCGTCTTACTCGAGACGAGGCACGAAAACTATTGGCGAGCGACACACCCTCGTCGCCCATCGCATCCACGTCAGCCGCTCTCCCCGTCCTACCGCGCTCCTCCGGGACCAGTCGTCGCAAGTTGCGCAGCCAGGCAAAGATTCCAGATCACAGCTTGACCGAGTCCTACTTCCAGCTGCAGCTTCAACACCACATCGTTCAGCACTATCCGCACCGCCCATTCGCCCTTTCCGACCTGGGCGCTAGTGCAGATCTGGCGTCCTTGGCGCATCGTCTTGTCGACGCCCGCATGCAGCTGCGCAGCACCACCCGCCGCACCCACGCAACCCACTCGGCAGCACAGGCCAGCAGCGAACAGACATCAGACAAGATCCGCCGTCTCTTCGAATGGGCCCTGCGCAAGATGATGCACGATGGCTTTATCGTCCTCTCCGCCTCGACCGTGCCAAGATCGTCGACCAGCGGCGCGGCCAACAGCGATTCCTACCGCCTCGTCACTCCAGACTACCTGCTCGGCTTCCTGCGCGACATCATCGGCGCCGTCGACAGTCAACCACCGCCTGATCATCATCATGTCCTGGCCAGACTGCGCTCCCTCGACGAACGATTCCGCTTTCTCAATCCACCCGTCGTCCAGGACAGCATCGCCGTCTACCTCGATCGCTACGCCCCAATCGTGCTCGATTAGCCCACTCACATCAAGAGTCGCACTGAAAGTGATTGCCGCTCATGTTTGTACAGAAATGTCCGGTGTTACATGAAAGCATGCGTCAAATGCGCACACGCGATCCGATGCCTGGGGTCGTTTCGGAATCGGCCCGATCGAGAGTGGAATGACGAAGGAGGTACGATGCATGTCGACTGACTCTCCCATCTTGGTCTTCCACAAAGCAGACGCATGCTTTGCGCTCCGGCTCTCACCATTCGTGGTTCACCGCTTCGTGATTGCATCGGACCCATCAGGTTGATGCTCGGAACGCCAGTGCTCCGTGTGTGATCCAACGAGATGGTGGAACTTGCCGGCTATGGTGAATGCTACGGAGCAGCCTAGGTTGTCTCGGATGGGTCTTTTCGTCTGGCATGAGCGTAGCGATCTTGCGATTTCGGTATGCATCAAGCGCGATAGTGGGGGCTGGCTCGAGAGCTGTTCCAAGCGAATCGTGGTTGGCCGCCAACCTTCAGCCCTTCCACTCAACCCCCACGGTTCATTTTCAGCAACCGGCACACGACACGCCAGGATTCCTGCTTGCGTGGCTGCTCATGATCGCTGCTTGATGCACCGAGACGATGGCGACGACGAGTCACTCACGCTCACAGCCGGCTACGAGGATCAAAAAGTTATGAAACATGGGTCATCTGCGTGGTCGTTTTTCACGGGTCTTGGGTTGTGATCCATCATATCGGAAAAGAATTCGTCAGGTGTGTCCCTCGACGTGCCAGGAAGCCATGCAGCGTGGCTTGTTTAAGAGCGCGCAGCCGTGTTTGCGTATGGAATAGAGAACCTTGAGTCAGTCATCGATGCGCTTTCATGCTCCTCATCCGAAGAAGTCATTGTCAAGCACCATGGCTCGCATGGTTTCCGCGATTTCAATCCATGATTGCGCGCGTTGTCGGTGCAATGCCTGCGCAGCTGGACTCACGATATTAAGTCACAGCGTGCGCACCTTTCATGTGCATGCGGTTGTTGGCTGACTTCGTAAACCCGTCACCGCATCTACGTTTGACGAGGAGGTGAACCAGCAATCTGGCCTGTTCTACTGGATGGGTGGATCGAGTGGGGCCCTTCATATTGCAAGTTTCTGGCAAACACGCCGGCTTGTCTGCCACGCTCAGATATTATTGGCCTCTCTCAAACAGACAGCTCGTAAATGCATCATATGAGATGGCGGAGGGGCAAAGACAAGACGTCGACATCCGTTCCGCGAGTCGGCGGCTAGACCAAGGTGGTGCCTGCGCTATTTGTCACCGCAAACCCGCGATGTTCTTGTACTCAACGAGGCCGAATCACGAATGCATAGGTATTCATGACCATGAGCCTTGCTTCGAGCTGTTGAGACGCACGGCGCATTTACCTTGTTGTTGCAAGCTCCGCTTGCAACGATACCATGCACGACGTGCGCCGTTGGCACCTTAGCCGGGCCTTGATGTTTGGCTTGCTCGGTGATGAGTCATGAATCTTTCGTGAATCGCCAACGATTCCTGGAGGTTGCAGCCTGCACCCGCATCACTCGTACCGTCGATCATGAATAATAGATGCATGCGTGATGATGGAGTCTGAGTCACGATTCGCAACTCGGAGGCTACGCCAGCCCTGAGCTTTGATGTCTGCCAGTCGTGAGTTCTGATTTTGTGTATGTCCGACACGGGTGTTCATGGTTCATGCGCGCAAGCCTGTCACAAATGACATACTGACGGAACGCTGGCGAGACCAGCCAGGCGTCAGCCAGCTAGCTCAGGGTGACTTTGATGCGTACTGGCTTTCAGCTGGAATAGCTGGAGCCGCGGCGATGGGCACTGCAGGCTCCTGGTCCGGACCGACGGTGCTATCGCCGGTGGTGCGTCGCATGGACATGTTGGGCTGCTGCTCGAGCGCACCGGCAAGCGCCATACGGGTGAGGAAATCTAAAGCAGGCAGAGCCTTCAGCAGATGCGCAGCAGATGGTGGCCCATTGACAAGGCGCACTTGGGCACGCCGGGCGAAGGATGGAAGAGGCGCTCAATCTCACGGCGTGTCTTGGCTAGCAAGATGGTGGCAAGGAGCAACTTGGGCAGGTGGAACACGGCGTGTTGATCGTGAAATGCCAGAGGGCCTGACACAGGTGGATGGTGAGCGAGCTAGCATCCCAAAGCTGGTCGGTGCAACCGGGGATGATGATGTCCTCGTCAAAGTGGAGGAAGAGATACTCGAGAAGGGGCCTGTTGAGCACGTTCGAGCACCGTTTCTCGAAATGATTTATGATTCACATTCAAAACTGTATCATTAGGGCGACTGACGGTGGAAGCGGCCCTGTTCTTTCTGACTGTAATCGGATCAAAGAAAAATACCAAACCATCGGAGAACGTTTTGTACTCGTATTTTGACATTGCGGAAAATCATGATTTCTGACTCTTCACTGGCGGCTCCTTATCTTGTCCGTCGGCAATCATGGCTCGTGAAGGGATTCGGACCCCCTAGAAGAATCGTGCGCGGTCAGGTAAGATTCGGCTCTCACTGCTGAAATGACGACTAGACTCCACCAGCGCATCTCCTATGCGCCTCTCTGTTCCCACCTGTTTCTCTGCCGCCCCCAATTGCGGTGTAATTATCTTCTCCAGCCCCGACAGGGCGGTGTCCAAGTCTACAAAGCCATCCACCCTATCAGCTGCCCGAGCAGCCCCAACTACCGTCCACCTGGTCACGGCTGGCGCCCGCTCCTCGATGCTACCTTGTTTGTTTCCTGCCGCAGGTGCCCGACCTGTGTCAGTACCGCAGCACGGGACGCCACGGCTGCAATTCAGACCGTAATCATAGATTCTGAATTATTACATCATGAATGTGCAATGACGGGTTATGCTACCAACTGCGATCTGTTCGCTTTGATATGCTTTCTGATTTTTTGTCTTTGGTCGAAAAGTGGGTCGAGTCGGCCTGGTCAGACGTGACAAACTTTGCATTGCGCGTAACTGAAGGGTCCTCAGGGCCCGGATCAAGGGCTTGGTCGGCAATTTAAAATCATTATCCACAGTTTTGATCGTGCATCAAGTCGACCTCGAGAATGGTGGTTTAATTTGCTGAGCCAATAGAGTCAATCAAATCCATGTTCTCACAAGTAACAGCGCTTAAAAGAGCTTTTTATGGCCGTTTGTTGCCGTCAATCATTATAGAACCGTGAGTGGCCGTTGAATGAAAAAGGCCGATTAGTGAGATAGAATCACGATACTGGTATGAACGCCCGAAGGTCTCCTTTGATGCTCTGAAGGAGGTCAATCCTGCCATCGGAGTGATCATGATTATCCCTGACTCCTGTAAAACCCGCTGTCTGAGGTGTCATGATTTTCTCGAGCAGAATTGCTTTTCATTGATGGGCCTGTCTCGGTATCAGGCCACTCACTCTATGGTGCGTCACGACTGATGATTAAAAGTTTGCGAATTTGGCTTGTGTGTTGTAGTCATGGTCAGCCAGAAAAGAGTTCACACTCTGGCGAGTGTGTACACTTTCGAAAAATGAATTTCTGTGTCATCGTTTACCAAAATTGTAAACCGCAGGTCGACTTTTGGCAGCAGTCGAGGGAAATCCAAGATTGTCTTCAGGAGGTTTATCTTGGTCTGAATACGCGCAAGAAAAAAATCACAGAACTCAAAGGACATTTTAGTTCCCTCACAATCCCGTCTCTCCCTGCTTCTACCTGCATAGACAACAAAACTCAGACGCTCTGCCCGAATCTCTCTTCGCTGTCCCGTCGCAACCGCGGTTTTGAAACACGCTCAAAGCCCAATGTCACAACATAGCATATAAAAAGCTCCACCTTGCCAACGCCAGCCAGACCACCCATATCTTCCCCTCACCGCTTGCCAAATGCCCCCCCTCCGCGACCACCCCGAACCGGCCATCGTCGTCAGGCGATCGGCCCGCTTCCTCCCCACAGAAGAACTCGGAACGACTGCTACGCTCTCGAGCCAATCGAGTACTGATAGCGATATGCCACTCTTTGCCTTGACCCTCTCTCAGTTTGTAAATGTCATATCTCAGCAATTTTTTGCACAAGATCGAATTCCGTCGAACATCTTTATAATCACACGAGCCCAACATTGGCTAAACACTTCATCGTGACGGGTGAGACAGTCGAGTCGTGAGCCAGAGAATTCGTGATTCATGACTTTTTAGCTTGACATTTTCAGTCATTGGTTTTTGTGAAAAGATCAAATCAAGTACTTGGCGTTCCTCGCAGATGAATATTAATCCTAGATGAAGGCTAATGTCACTTCAAAAAGCTGTGTACAGTCTTGCAGTCATAGCGAAGAGCGGTTAAGTTCATGGATGAAAAGGAAGCGGCGCGAAGGGATTTCATGCTTCGTATTTCTTCTCTTTTGCTATTCAGGATCCTTGGTGTGTGGGTGGCCAGGTCATGATGTTGAGTTGTGTCTGTGAGTCGCGCGCAGTGAATGGTGAGTGGCTTGCTACGACTCACGACATGCGCTTCGTTCTATGATAGTATGAATCGATGGTGGCCTGCATCCCAACGCTGATTCTCACGCAGGGTCCACGATTTTGCGCGGATCGACCACGCCTGCCTCCACATGTCGAACCGCGAGGTTGGGCGCGTCTCGCGTGAGTGGATCTGCAGGGGCGCTGCCTGGCTCTCGCTCGGACCAGCCAAGATCGGCCGCGCAGAAGCAAATGGCGAACCGGTGTCGGTGACGGTTGCATCCATGCATCATGCCATCCACTCCATCCGCGTCTGCTTCCCCATCCGAAACGTTTCGCATCACGGCAGCCGACATCTACACCACGTCTGAAACAGGCAAAGCGGGCATGACGCTCTCCTCCGCCAAGGGGCGGCCAGCCGGGCGCTGCCATATGAAGGGCAACTGCGGTAAAAAGAGCATCTTCAGCCCAGAGCTGCCTTGCCCCGTCGACGAGAAAGCTACGGTGCCGCAGGACGATGACTTCCGCCAGCTCCTTGTCAGCACGTGCGGCTCCGACTATGCCAGCGGGCCGGTCTGCTGCACCCAAGCGCAGGTGGAAAGTCTGGGTGCGAATCTACAGCAAGCGGAGCCGTTGATCTCGTCGTGTCCGGCTTGTCGCAACAACTTTCGATCCATGTTCTGCGCCTTCACCTGCTCTCCCAACCAGTCGCAGTTTGTCGACATCGTCGAGACGCAGGAGGTCACGGGCAGCGATGGCCGACCCTCCGAGGCTGTCAAGACTGTCGAGCTCTTCATCGAGAGCGACTGGAAGCAAAAGTTCTTCGACAGCTGCAAGGACGTCAAGTTTGGCGCCAGCAACGGCTTCGCGATGGATCTGATCGGCGGAGGAGCCAAGAACCCCAACGCATTTCTCAAGTTCCTCGGCGACGAGAAGCCGCTGCTGGGCAGCCCCTTCCAGATCGACTTTCCCGATCAGCACAGAGCCGCCAGTTCAGAACGATTCGCAGAGGCCTACTCTTCCCGTCGAAACGACTCGCTACAGACGCCGATTCCATTCAATGTGAATCCGAGGCAGTGCAGCGACCCAGATCTCCTGTCCCGGTGCGCTTGCGTCGACTGCCCCGACACATGCACTGCGTTGCCCGAGCTGCCAGGCTCAAATGGTGACGGCTCGACCTGTGCGGTCGGCGCCGTGTCCTGTCTGACCTTTTCGGTGATTTTGCTGTACGTGCTCCTTATCGGCCTCATGTGGTTCTGGCGGCCCCTTCGCAGGCTCTTACGCGGTCACGGCGCCATCGCACTTCCGCACCGTACCAGCGGACACAGCTTCTTTGCCGGCTCCAGCGGCTTCGAGAGAGTTCGGCTGGACTCCGAGGACTCGCTCAGCGATCTCAACGACGCATCGCCGCCAAATCGCAGCAGTGGAGGCAATCTCGTTGGGGCAAGGGGTCTGGGCCATTTTGGCGAGGAAAGCTCCAGCACATCTGCTCCAGACGGCACATATCGAGGCATCGGACTCGAACGCAACGACAATCTCTCGGCGCTTGTTGCGCTCCAGCCTCGCAAATACGCACTCAACCAGTTCCTAACAAGGTCCTTCTACAAGCTCGGCCTCTTTTGCGCGAGCCGCCCTTGGCTCACCTTTCTCGCGGCGGCTGTCTTCGTCGGCGCGGCAAACATCGGATGGAAGCACTTCGAGGTCGAAGTCGACCCGGTTCGTCTCTGGGTGGCACCGGGCTCTACGGCAAAGGTGCAGAAGGATATCTTCGACAAGGAGTTCGGACCATTCTATCGACCTCAGCAAATTTTCATCATGGACAGCATCGCTTACCAGAACCTGCCCATGCTTCGGCAGAGCGCATCGTCGGCCGAGCTGGAAAAGCTGCCATCAGCTCTCACCTGGGAAAGGCTGCTCTGGATTTCCGATCTCGAACGCGAGGTCCGAGCCCTTCGATCGCCGTCGGGTGTGACCCTGCAGGATGTCTGCCTTGCACCCGCCGGGCCGGGTACGCCGTGTGTTGTACAAAGCATCCTGGGCTACTTCCAGGATGACCCAATCGGCTACGGGCTGGAAGCGAGCAACTGGGATCAAGCTCTGGACCAGTGCGCTAGCAACCCTGCAGAGTGCCTACCGAGCTTTGGCCAACCACTCAAAACCAACATCGTGCTGGGGGGTCTGCCAGCGGATGCACAGCCGAGTCAAGCGCGCTCTTCCGTGACGACCTACGTGCTCAACAACAGCCTGGACAGCAAGCAGGTCGCCGCTGCAGAAGAATGGGAGCGAGAGCTCCTGGACCTTCTGACGAGGGTCGCTGCCAACCCTGCAAATAGTCCGAAGAGCGAGGAGGCAGCTGCAGAGACTCATCCGTTATCTGTGCGCAGACAGGACCTCGGCTTGCAGATTGCCTTCAGCACAGGGGTCAGCCTCGAGACCGAGATAGGTAGCAGCAGCAATACCGACGTTGGCATTGTGGTGCTCTCTTATCTGACCATGTTCATCTACGTGGCACTCTCTCTCGGAAGGCAGGCGCCCAAGTTGGGAGGCAGAGCCGATCCGGAACCCAGCCGTCCCGTCGCCGAACCTGGGTCCTATCCTCGGATGACCTCGGCGTCGCTGCCGAATGGGACATCGCAAATCCTGCGTCGTATTCGACAGATGATCCAGTCCTTCTGCGTATCATCCAAGTTCACCCTAGGCCTCTTCGGCATTCTGATCGTGCTATGCTCGGTAGCCTGCGCGGTCGGCATCTTCAGCGCTTTGGGGGTCAAGGTCACCCTCATCATCGCCGAGGTCATCCCTTTCATGCTCTTGGCAGTCGGTGTCGACAACATCTTCTTGCTGTGCAGTGAAATGGACCGTCAGCTCGAGATGCAGGCTTCAGAGGGCTCTGCGTCCGCTCATCTGGACTCGAGAGCCAGCGAAACGCTCATCCCTTCGATGGAACCGCCGCAACATCCCTCCCTGTCTCTAGGCGATGACTTCGAAGCGCAAGAGGGCGCACGTCCAACAGATTCCGCACATCAAATCACGCGCCTCACGATCGAAGAAAGGGCTGCGCGATGCCTGGCGCGCGTAGGACCATCCATCCTACTTAGCGCTACGACCCAAATCGTGGCGTTCCTGCTCGGTGCCATGGTGCCCATGCCCGCAGTCAGGAACTTTGCCCTCTACGCTGCCGGAAGCATGCTGATCGTCGCGGTGATGCATTGTACCGTCTTTATTGCAGCCATGGCCCTCGATGCACATCGCGTCGAGGGAGGCCGAGTCGATTGTCTCCCGTGTCTCAAAGCCCCTCATCAACAGTCCCACGCCAGGACCTCTGATTCCACAGCGGCCACCACCAGCGAAGCCGGACTCGACCACTTCATCCGGTACCGTTTCGCACCGAGCCTGCTTCGACCCTGGACTAAGCGATTGGTTGTTGTGGCGTTCGGTGCCATCGCAGTGATGAGCGCCATAGGTATTCAAAGAATCGAGATGGGCCTGGACCAGCGGCTCGCGCTGCCCTCGAAATCCTACCTGCGGCCCTATTTCGATGCCATCGATGTCTTCCTTGACGTCGGCCCTCCCGTATACTTTGTCGCTGCGGACGAGGAGGTGTCTGCTCGCCAAGGCCAACGAGCTCTGTGTGGAAGGTTCACCACGTGTGAGCCCCTGTCGCTGGCCAACACGCTGGAAGGGGAACGAGCCAGGGCCCAAGTCTCATGGATTGCGGAGCCAGCCAGCAGCTGGATCGACGACTTTTTGCAGTGGCTCAATCCCATCCTCGACGGTTGCTGTCGAGTCAAGATCTCGGATCCCTCGGTGTTCTGTGGGCCCCGCGATAGCCCCTTCTCATGCCAGCCATGCTTCGAGGGTCGCGATCCTCCCTGGAACATCACCATGGACGGGTTCCCCGAAGGCGAAGAATTCTATCGCTATCTCGGGAAATGGCTAGAAAGCCCGACCGATCAAGAATGCCCGCTGGGTGGTCAGGCGGCCTACTCGTCTGCGCTCAGCATTGCGAAGGACCCCGTCAACGGCAACGAGAGCGTGCGCGCGTCGCACTTCCGCACCTACTTTTCGCCTCTCCGCTCCCAATCGGACTTCATCAGTGCGCTGGAGCAGTCACAGAGGATCTCGGAAGACATCTCGAGCCGAACGGGCTACCGCGTCTTTCCCTACAGCCTCTTCTTCATCTTCTTCGAGCAGTACACGTATCTGCTTTCGATGGCAGTGCAAGTGCTCGGATCGGCTGCGGTCGCCATCTTTGCCATCAACACGGTGCTGCTCGGCAGCTGGCGGACAGGCGCCGTGGTGACGCTCAGCGTGGCGAGCACCGTGCTGCTGGTGGCCGGAGTCATGGGTTTCTGGGGCATCCAATTCAACGCGCTGACGCTGGTCAACTTGAGCGTCTGCGCTGCGATTGGCGTCGAGTTTTGCGCTCACATCGCTCGTGCGTTCATGCGGGCACCTGGATCTTTGCCACGATCGCATCCTATGGCCCAAAAGGAACGCGACGAGAGGGCCTGGCTCGCTCTCACGGACGTGGGCGGCGCTGTGGTCAACGGCATCTTTTCGACCAAGTTGATCGGCGTGGGTGTGCTCATCTTTACCAAGTCGGATCTGCTCAAGCTCTACTATGCCAAGACGTGGCTCTGCCTGATTGTTGGCGGTCTGCTCCACGGCATGATCTTGCTGCCAGTGCTGCTTAGCTGGCTCGGCGGTCGCGGCTGGTCGACGGGTGAGGACGAATCGGACGTCAAGCGTCGGCTGAATCGGGCGGGATCCGAGTATCGACCGCTGATGGCATCCGAGCCCGACGCTAGCGATGACGAGGAGAATTTGTAGCAACTTAGATGCGCTTCACGACCGGATCAATCCCAACTTCCGCCACCGTGGATCAGGGTTCACTTTTGAGAAGAAGGGATGCGTGTTCCAAGCCATTGCCAACACACGTGAGCGGGTGGCTTGACTTTGATTTGGGACGTCTTGGCTCGAAGACGTGCGAGGCAGGTTCACACGGCAGCAGAAGCTCAGCCTTTCTGAAAGGCCGGGACACGACCGCCCGCATCGTGACACAGAAAAGGCACAGCCAGCAACGCGAGCGAGGTGCAAAGAATTTGGAGAAAGGAAAGGTCATTGGATTCGCGGATGCGTTGCAAGGCGCAGCACTCTACGCGGCTGCTGCGTTCATCTTGCGCCTTTCTCCTTGGAGCTGTTCGGGGCAAAGAGACGAGATAAGTGTGAGCGAATGGAGCCGCATTCGCAGGGCAAGTGAAGCGAGATGCGGGTGTGAGATGTACGTACCACTTTTGTGACGCGTTGCCAGCTGTTGGCTTTGGATTGTGCGCCCTCCGGTGCCGGAGAGGTGTTGGTTCCATCTATGTAGGACTGCAGCTGTTCTTGGGTGAAGCCAGGAACGTTTGTGGAAGCGGCATCATAGCCGGGGCCGGATATGACGACCTCTTCCATAACGATGATGTGAGAGTTGTGCCATCGACACGGCAATCTGCAAGACGATGCGATTGAGCCGAAGCGGTCAGCGTCATGCATCTACATTTCGATCGATCAATCGGTTGAAGAGGAGACTTACGTTTTGCTCAGGGCATCAAAGACCTGCTGACCGAGTTGGGAGACGTCTTTGCCGGTGCGTGCGACCTTGGTGAGGCTCTGCTTGACCGCGTCCGCCTCTCTCATCTGGGCAGCCTTGAGCGAGACGGGGTGGATGGGCGTGAGGCTTTGTGCTTGCGATGCAGCGCCGTTGGCGGCATCTGTGGAGTGTCGGAACTCGATCTTCTTGATCTCGGACACTTTGACGATGGTGAATCCGACGGCGGCGGAAGCCTGTGCGAAGCGATTACGAGATGTCTGCGAGGCTTGGGCGACCGAGGCTGCGGCGGCCGGCGCCGATTGGAGGTGCGACGGCAAGGTGGTCGGTTCGCACTCTAGGCCGACGACACCGAGGCTGGGATCGTACGCCCACAGCTTGCCGGAAAGTGTTTGTGACTGCTTGTCGCCCACAGTGAAGGTGACGTGGGATCCGAGCATCTTTGAGATGTTGGCCAGCTGGTTGGACGCCGTGGCTGCATTCCCCTTGGCTGCTGCATTGGCTGCATTGGCTGCAGATTGGGCGACCATGTTGTTTGGCGATGGCAACGGGCAAGCGGCGCGTCGTGGTGGTGGTGGTGGTGGTGGTGGTGGT